CAGTACAATGGGCCTTTTTTCAAGTCCATTCTCACTTTAAAGTGCTACTCTTTGACTTGTCCCCCCCCCTTTTTTAGGGGGGCATTGTAGACCACACTCCACAGGAATCTGGACAAATCGCAAGATTGCTGGGGTATGCCATTAGCTTTTATTCTCATCATCAGATTTGTATTGCTTAAGCCTGTAAAACTTACAGAATCGTTTTTGATACTTGACCTGTACATTTAAATAAGACAATAATAAGACATATCATTGGGAATCTAGAGTGACAACTGATTTTTAAAAAAGTAGTACTGTTATAAAAATATCATTGATTTACATTACAGGCTATCAGACTATAATTGTACTTTTTGGCCATATACAGTAAATATCAGCATCTGCCAAATTATCACCAAATTGCATATTTTTGTTTAGTTGGCTGTTAGTTAGCTGTTTTTTCAATATATGTCCATATTCTCACTATAACACTATATGAGCCATAAAAGCCTGATGTATCAACTATGATACAAAACATAAAACACATATGCAAAAAAAATTTTGGTTCAGTAAACTATTAAATTTGTTAAAATTTGATTTTGATTTGTCAGGCTTTACAGCTAATGGTCTTCAACCTTTTACAAACCTTCTCCACCTTTAATATAGTTAAAACAGCTTTTTATTATTAATGCTTTTTTTTAAACAATAGTAATATTAAATACATTTAATATATAATTTAATATGTAATATATAATAAAGAGCACAAATGAATTATAGGCTAATAATAAGCTATACATGCATTAGACAAGTCATTCAAGAGACAAGAGTGTGAATAGGCCTACAGTGTGTATTTGTATTCACTTAGCATGTTAACCTCGGTCTAGATCAAGGCCTGCACCACTGTATAGTGATAATTGGATGTGATTATGTTTTCTTATATAAGCTCTGAGTCATGTTTATCTTTGATACATGCTGAATTCTTGTTTGTTTTCTTTAGATGATATATCAAGAGGTCAGTTTAATTGATGCTGTGCATTAAGAGAAAATTAATTCTCCAGTTCTTCTCCGTCTCTGTTTACAGTTCACTCATTTTAATGAAGCAACACAGTTCTCGGCCAGAGCGTTTCATATGCGTGAGGTGGCAAGATGACTGCAAGCTAATTATTCCTCACCTCGTCCTATTTTAAGCCTCTCTTTATCTGGGATAAACTGCCCTAATAAAATGGTATTTAAAAATGGGTTAATTGCATCGCAGTGCTGTTTCTGTAATTGTTTCAGGAAATAAATGAGGTTGCACTCAGGGAGTTTCACGGTTCTCTGGTGCCCCCTAGAGGATACAGCCTGATTTATTTTGTGACTGCTTTAGTCATACTTCCCACTGAAGATAGTCTCTTGAATCATGAGTGTATGGGAAAATTAAGTGGTTATGGCAGATTAGTCAAGATTGATGCTTGAATTAAATAATGAGTCAATGTTCACATATAATCTTTTTATACCCCTAAAAAAATTAGTAATTTGTGCCAAACCAAATGTGGTGCTGAAGGCATCAAGCTGCTGTTGATATAATAAGAAATCAGATTTAAAATAAGGAAGTGGGTGGGTATTGTTGTAAGGCACACAACAAAGAGGTCAGCTCATGAAAACAATTTCCTCTAATATTTAATTAGTATAAAACCTCAAAGTTGTTTCCCAGGGTATATTTTTATTTCTTCCTCCATTTGTTGTGCATTGTTCCGCTCAAAATCTATTTAAATTGTGTTCAGTATCATTTTTAAATAAAAGTATAGGCCTATGAAAAACAGAAATAAAAATCATTTTAGAAAAAAAAAACTAAAATGACAAAAGCACACAAAATTACTAAAACGTATAATTAAAATATATATAAAAAAAAAAAATAAAAAAAAATTATAAATAATAATAAATCCTATAATAATATATATAAAAAATACTAAAGTAACAATGTTATCTACTCATTTGATTAAACTGCCAGAAGTTACAACATAAAACTATTTGGAAATAACCTGTATAAAGAAATTCATAATACTTAAAATAAAATGACTATTTACTAAATGAATTAAAACATGCAATGTGATAAGATCATGTGACAATGTATCAAAATGCAATGTAATGAGATTATGTGACAATGCATTATTTGAAATGTTTTATCATAATGCATTATACATTTAACTTACTATTTTTATTGGTATGCAGTATACAGTCTATACTGGTCCAAATTCAGTCAGCATTAACAAAATAGTATTCCATTCCTAACGTGGTTAGTCATGTACCTGTTTTAATTCAATATGCTGGTGTAGAGCTCCCTCTCATGGCACCGTAGAGAATCGCTCACATCCTGACCATAAAACCCCATTATAAATGCACAAAACACACAAGCCATATACCATCAACTAAAATACATTTAATGTGCGGTGTCATTTTCCCCCCCAGAGATTTATGAAAGAGCAAATCCCATAAACATGACACATCCACAGTACTGTGCACAAAACACACAAGCCATATACCATCAACTAAAATACATTTAATGTGCGGTGTCATTTTTCCCCCCAGAGATTTATGAAAGAGCAAATCCCATAAACATGACACATCCACAGTACTAAAACATTCTCAAGGCCTTCAGAGGGTTTTGGTAAAAACTTGAGACACATTATCCTTGTATTGTCTTTCAGCATGCTGTAAAATGAAATGCCTAAGTTTTTTTTTTCCTTTTCTTTTTAATCATCAAGATATTTTACCAAAGCATACTCTTTACTTCAAGAGATTTATCTTCATTTTAAATGGCAAACCTTCTCATTCCTGGTGCATTGCTAAAAACAAGAAAAGTCACACAAGCAAAATTAGAAGCCCCTTCATGCTATGTATGCTATGCAAAATGCCCTTGCTTATTTTGCTACACTATGCCTATTCTAGCTAACCAAGTCAAAGATTTGCATAGAGTAACCAAGTCTCATCAAGAGTTGTCGGCAGGTTTTAACTTGGCATGATCCAGGCAGTTTGCGATAATAATAATGCATAAAATACACCTGCAAGTGTCTCTCCTGTATTTTCAAAGCTAATTCATGAGGTTTAAACGGTGCCATTTCAACACCTATGAATTGTACCTTTAAAACAACAAAGCAGTAAAACCGGTAGAGGTGGTTAGGCAACAAGACACTGGAGGTGCATCATACTGTTTCTGAGGACAGCGCATGGGTTCTATTAAAGCTCATGTTCAACACAGGCAGTTTACAAGCCACCTTGATTTAACTGTACAATAAAATTAACATTCTCAACATTTTAATTAAAACTGAATGAACAATGAATCATCACTCAACAGTATCACTTATCCTCAAATGTCTTTTTCTTAAAAAAAAATGAATAAAGTCAATACAAAAACAACATTACATATGTTCTTTTAATCTCATAAAGCCTAATGTGTTTTAACGATTTTGTACAAAAAAAAATTGAAAATAAAAATATGGCTCTGCACTTATAATAGAATGGCAGAAATATCTTTATATTTCAATGGCTCGGCAGTGATATAGTAAAAATAGTTTTTAGGGGAAAAAAAATAAAATAAAAAAAGAACAGATAAAGTACATTTAAGTGGCTTAGTGGCATAAAACATTTGAAATTAAACTCACTTCATAAAATCTTTATAATATCAATAAAATAACATTTGTTTTTTTTCCAGTGCTTTGGGAAGAGAAAAAGAAAGCCTATAATAATACACATATATTTTCTACATATTCAACCTCCTTCACTGTACAGCTCAAAAGCTGGATCAAATTTCAAGTTGATCCAGGTTTCCTGAAAGGCACCTTGGGCTGTATGAACTTCACTTTGGCAAATGGGGCTCACAGCTGTCAGCTTTATTTTACAGAGTGCCAGCATGGGCATTTGAGCCTGTGCTTCTTGAAGAATCTGGCCTTGACTTTAAGGCATCTTAGTAGCAGTGTGTATGGCAACAGGACTAATTTATGGTTAATTCATACTGCATTCTGCTGCACCGTCCACTGAACATACTGTCACACTAGCACCTGGTCTGGCCTGTTATACCAACAGAAGCCTGGAGTCATTGTTTTGTCTTTAACAATGACAACAGTAGCTACATAATAAAGCATGGGTAAAGCTAATGCTAGGGTGATATGGTAGATTCCTTTTGATACGTTTGTTTCCAAGTCTCTCCATTTTGGTGAAAAGTCACACCTGAGTATGGCCTAAACCGATCAGTGAAAAAACATGTTTTTTCCTTGTAATATTTTTCATGGACATTACAGGGCACTTTCAGAGTGACTTTTTCAGGACCTCAGTATGATTAGTGGATAAGAACTTTTAAAAATCATTCAAATTCAGACTGATTTTCTAATTAATCATTCAGACTGTTTTGTGAATCTTTTTGACTGATTCATAAAAATAAAAAAAAAGAATGAAAAGTGATTCACTCACAACTGACTAAAAGTCACATGACTTTTAATTAAGATTGTATTAATTTATTAATCTAAATTAAGAAAACAATTTCTTGATATTTCCAGGTTTTCCATGGCTGTGGGAACCATTTCCTTTCTGCTTTTTGATAAACTGTCTAAGGATAAGCTATCTTTGCATATTGCTCTGATACAGCAAGAGTTGTGATGTGGCGGTAGCCTATATTTCAAGTGAAAGAACAAATCCTCCAAAAATGACTTCTGTCTGGATTTAGAGGGCATTAAGTGAGTGTGACAGTCTCACATGTGGGAAATGGCTGACATGTTAAAGCAGAAAAAATATAATTCTACAGAAAGAATGTGAGAGCAAAAGAGTGGTTTGGATGTAAAAGTTCACAGCCTGTAAAGGGATAGTTCACCCAAAATCATACACTCACCCTCATGTTGTTATAAACAAAAGAAGATATTTTGAAGGATGCTGGAAACCAAACAGTTGCTGGTAGCCAGTGACTTCCACAGTGTTTTTTTTTCATACTATGGTAGTCAGTGGCTACCAGCAACTGTTTGGTTACCAACATTCTTCACTTCTTTTGTGTTCAACAGAAGAAATAAATTCATATAGGTTTGTAAGAACATGAGGCTGAGAAAATTGACAAAATGTTCATTTTTGGGTGAACTATGGCTTTATGGCAATCTGTATGTGTCTAAGGACATTTTTTTTTATACAAAACATTCAATATATGCCAATTCTCGGTGATAGAATTCACGCATCTCAGTTCTGTTTGTTCGGTTAGTCTATATTGCATTTATCAACATATACATATTTTCATTTCTGTGACAGTTGTGGAACAAAACTGTTGCATGATTTCACTAAAACCATGTTTCTTGTTTCGCATGTCAGATTTAAAAGATAAAAAAGTAGCTAAACTCTCATTTCAGTGTGGCAGGGTGCATCAATATCGTACCTTTCCCCGTTAACAGTGTGCCAGACTAAATGCAACATCTGTGTGTGTGTGTGTGTGTGTGTGTGTGTGTGCGTGTGTACATGTCGCATCATATGCACGTCGTGCAGCGACACCCAAGGCTGTCCAGGTCACAGTATGTCTGAGTCCTCAATGTTGAAGCTGCTACGGCGGCTGCTGTCCACAGAAGCTTCGGGGGACATGGTGGACAGCAGCGGGTCGACCCCCAGCGGCGACAGGGCCTCTTCCATCAGCAAGAAGCCCAGATCGCTCTTCTTTCCCATGGGTGTGATACCTCCGCCCAACGAGCCGAGATCCCCAATGCCCCCCATGCCATCTTGATATCCTGGGATGCCGCCATCGCACAAGTCCAGCGACTGGGCATAGTCAAAGTGCTGGGAGCTGCCCACGGACGGGTACTGCAATGGGGGCTGGGGGTGAAGGTGCTGGTGCTGGTGGAGCTGAGTGTGGGACTGGGGCTGCGGCTGACCCTGGTGCTGCTGATGCTGGGGGTAGTGAGGAGGGAGATGGGGCTGGTGTGAGAGGTGGTTCTCCTCAGGGCTGTTCTCCTGCTTGATGAAGTGGTTTAGAAGCTCAGTGTTGTTCAGACCGGATGGAGAGCTGCTGGGAAGGCCGTGCATCTGGGCCTGCCTCTCAAGCTCCTGAAGAATGAACACAATAAAATAACAATTAAAATGACATGATGAGTTTACTATACCTCAAAATATCAGTTCTCATTTTTATGTATTTTAGTATAATTGAGATACTACTATAATTTTCTTAATAGTTTGAATCAGTTTTTATTCAGTATTTTCCATTTCAATTTTCTATTATTTTTATTTCAGTTTTTGTTTTCGTTATTTTAGTATATCAGGTTAAACTAAATAAATATGAGAAATGCTGCCTTGGCATCTAGCTGAAATAAAATAAGTATTTTAATTGATTTCTGTTAAAGGGGTCATATGATGCGATTTCATTTTTTCCTTTCTCTTTGGAGTGTTACAAGCTCGTGGTGCATAAAGAAGATCTGTAAATTTGCAAAGACTAAAGTCTCAAATCCAAAGAGATATTCTTTATAAAAGTTAAGAGTCAGCCACACCTACCTAAAACGGCTCGTTCTAACACGCCCCCACATATCTACCTCACTATGTGGCAAGATTTGCATAACGCCGCCCAAATGTTCACGCAAAGAAAGAAGGCATAACTTTTATTCTCGCTGTAGTATTGTTGATGCTGCAGCCATGTCAGAGCACACCTCGCTTTTTCAGACCGATGAGCTTTGTAAAAATCGACGCGTTTCAGAAGGCGGGGCATAGAGGAGAAACAATAATGTACAGTATGTGGAAAATAATGTGTTTTTTTTACTTTAAACCGCATAAACACGTTTCATTACACCAAATACCCAAAATAATGTTCTTTTTAGCAGCATCATATGACCCCTTTAATATTTAAAAGTAACAAAAATGTGTATGGTTGTAGTAAACTATTCTATATTTTGTTTTTGCTTTTCCATGGCCATTTTCCCTATTTTTACATTTAGATTACTTGTGCTGTTATTTAACGCTAATTTAAATGTAATCTTTCAAATCACTAATAACTTAATGACACTGTAACATACTTTTTAGCAAATCTATTTTTCATACTCCATATTATAATGTTATGATGCCTAAATTCACTTGTAGCGTTTGAAATGACTGATTTAATTTTTAGTGTTTTAATTTTATTGGTCATAACATAAAAGCAATGAACGGCCTAACACTTTCGACACGAATTTTAATATTACGCATCCCTAATAATGCTCAAGAAACTTTTCTTATTATTATCAATGTTGAAAGCAGTTGTGCTGCTTAATATTTTTTTTTTCAGTATTTCCTGATGAATACTATTCCAGGAAGTTCAAAAGAAATACAGAGTTCTGGCATGAAACTCTAGATGACGCAGTCTGATAGGTTTAACTCAATCTGACCTATTGACATCATCACATGGCACAGCTGATTGGTTCTCTCCTGTATCGGTAGCCAATGAGCTCGCTGCTCAACATTAAAATATATGACTAGTGCTTGCAGTAGCAGTTTGCAGCATGCTTCAGAAACCCTTCACCTTCCCCAGCTCCACCTGTATAGATCTGCTATGAGGTGATTTATGTATGCTATATGGGGGTTATTTCATGTATGTTATATTTGCAGCAGCAATATTTCTTACATGCTCACAGCAGCATGTTGTGG